CTGAGAGTTCTAGACCAGTCTGAACTACATAGTGAGACCCTGCCTCAAAGAAAAAAAAAAAAAGACAAATATCCCAAATATGTAATTACTTTCTTTTTGGGGGGATACCGGGGATTGAATTCAGGACTTTGTGCTTTTGAGGCAGGAAGAGAAATCTCTAAGGGTCATCATACAAAGGGAATCAGAACTTATATTGATGAGTATAAGCTGATACTGTGACTATCTGATAAGCATGCATCAGTGTTATTAAACAAGGACACTGTATTTTAATAGCCACAGAGGGTCAGGAAGCAAGGTATAGGCCACAGTAGGAAGAGGAATTGGAACTGAGATTATTGTAAATTGGGACTGCTCTGCATAGCACAGAAATCCTAAGTACTGTATAGAAATTAATGCAAAAATGACTCCAGACTGACAACATTCTTGGTATACCTAGCCAAAATCACAGGGAAACTATGCAGGAAAGATATATCTTAAATTTAGGCCCCTCATGCGTCCCACAGATAAAATCTTGCTTAAGATAATCCATAGTGTTCCAAATTACAGAACACAGTAGACATGATTCATCATGAGCTAATGTTAGCAGATATAATAGCAGAATCAGACCTCCAAATAATTCTATAATTTTTCCTTAAAACTTATAGCACTTAAAAGAAAATGAAGGACTTAAAAACATGAGAAAAGAGCAGAACATTAACAGAAACATTGGGAAATTTGAAAAAGAAGCAACTAGAACTTGTAGATATAAAAATATAATTTTTCTTTTTGGTACTGGGGATCGAACACAGGACCTTGTGCTTCCAAAGCAGGCATGGTGCCACTGAGCTAAATCCCTGACCCTAAATATGTAATTTTTAAACACAGATTAGACACAGCTGAAGAGAATTGGAATACTGATCTGAAAAAATAATACAGAAGGCAGCACACAGAGATAAAAATGGACAATACAATCAATAAGTAAGAATAGATGAAGGTTCAACACATAGGAGCTCCAGAAAGATCAGAGGAAATGGAAGACAGGCAATAGTCACAGGAATGTTACTGGAAAATTTCCACCAAGTATGTTACCCATGAATTTTCATATCAAATAACAGAAATGGTCCACATTTAGATACAAAATATTAAAAGTAAAACATTAAACATAAAGGGATACTCTTTTTTTTTCTTTTTTTGAGACAGTGTCTCACTATGTAGCTCAGGCAAGCTTCAAACTTGCTATGTAGCACAGGCTGGCATTGAATGTGCAATCTTCCTGCCTGACCCTCGTGAGTGCTGGGGTTACAAGCATGAGTTACCATATCTGGCTGCGAATGATAAAAAGATAATCTTAAAAAGAATCAGAGATGATTGTCTACAAATGAAAAAAATGTATATCTTTGGGGTTTTTTTTTTTGAGACAGGGTCTCACTGTGTAGTTCAGGCTGGCCTTGAACTTGAGATCCTCCTGCCCCCAGCCTCCCAAGTACTGGGTTTATAGGCATCCACTACACACCTAGCTCGAAAAACAATTTTATTTATAGCAGATTTCTTGATGGTAACAATTGAAAATAATACTACATTGTCATCTGGCATTTAAGTGCTAAGAGAAAATTATCAACCTAGAACTCTAAACTTAGCTGAACTAAGACATTTTTAGAGAAAGAGAGAGAAAAAAACTCCAAACTATTAAAGGATGTTCTTTAGTAAGAAAATTAAAGAAAGAACCAGGATGAAAGAAAGTGGAGGGGAAAAAAGAGGCAAACATGTGGGTAAATCTGTTTGTGAAAAAAGCTGAGGCAGATTAATTTAAGCCTCTATGGGGCCTAGGGATGTTGCTCAGTGGTAGAGTGCTTGTCTAGACTACACAAGGGCCTGGGTTCTACCCCTAGTAACACACGCCCACACACACACACACCCACACTCACGTATGCACCCATGCAGAGTTTACCCTTTATTTCCGTTTTGTTTTGTTTTGGAACTCAAGACCTTGCACTTGTGAGGCAGGCAACAGCAACAATGAGCTAAATCCCAGGCTCTATTTCTGTTTTTAAACCCTCTATTTCTTTTTTATTTCAACAACTATCTTTTAAAGACAGCTAAAACTAATATTGGTGATGGGAGTCGTCATAATGATTACTTTGTAGAGGAGTAGGGATATTTCTGAGGGAGCTGGTAGTTGTTACATAGGTGTATTCCCTGTGATATTTTACTGAGATGTCTGCTTTTCATTTATATACTTTTCTGTATGTAATAGCATGTATGTGGTATCATATCAGAGAAAGAAATCTGATCTCTGTCCAAATTTAGGAGAACCGCACCCTAAAACCCTCGGAATCTCCTAAATGACAAGGAAAACAGGAGTGACTTTTGTTCCAATGAGGCCACTCTTGGAGAGCCCAAGATAGCTTCAGGATAGGGGCTCCTCACTAGAAAAGGCCAGGCCTTGATCAGAAGGTTGGAACTTCCAGCCATCCCCAATCTCTGGGGTGGAGAGAAGCTGGAGATGGAGAAAACACTCAAGGCCAGTGATCTAGTCAATTGCAGCTACATGACACCTGCATCAATTTCTTCAAATGATAAAGTGCGAAGGTCTTTGAGGTTGGTGAACATACGGGGGGTGCTCAGAGGGTGGTGTGCTTGGAGCAGTTCTGGAAACTCCACACCCGACCCCTATACCTCACCCTAGGTGTCTCTTCCACTTGACTGTTCCTGAGTTGTATCCATTATAATAAATGGACAAATGTAAATAAAGTGTTTTCCTAAGTTCGGTGAGCTGTTCTAATAAATTACTAACCCTGGAGAAGAGGCCAAGGAAATCTCTGATTTATAGCCGGTCAGTCAGAAGTATTAGGTGGTCTTGGACTTGTGACCGGCATCTGAAGTGGGGGCAGTCTTGGGGGGCTGAGTACTTTAATTTGTGAGATCTTACACTAACTAGATAATGTTAGAATTGAACTGGATTGTCTGACATGAACTTGGTGTCTGGAGAAATGGAGTGGTGTGAGAAAAGTCAACAGATGTTTGGTGTCAAGAGGAAAAAACCTCTCAATGTGAAATTTCTGTAAAAGTTCTAAAATAAAACTCTACTTCACAGTTTACTGAAAGTCAAGTTCTGATAGATTATAAAGATGTAAGTTTAAATATGAGTTCTAAAAGTAAAGGACAAAATGTATGTTAGTATTTGTATAACCTTGATTGGAAACGAACTTTCCATGCCTGACACCAATGGTGGAAATCACTGGTAGCTTTGACTATATAAAATTAAAACAATAACAACAGGGCCGAGGATTTAGCTCAGTGGTTCCATAGCCTGCCTTGAAAGCGCAAGGACCGGAGTTTGATCCCCGGTACCAAAAAAACAAAAACAAAGAAAAAAACAAGAACAACAAAGCTAAATACTGCAAAATACTGTGAAAATATAAAACATAAACATCAAATAAAGGAAAAAGACAAATAGGAGATGAATGGCAATATTGTTAATTTTACGTAGAGATTTAAAAAAATTATTAGGAAAAATAAATGCATGCCCCAATTGTGAAATGAGCAAAGAACATGAACTGGCAACTCACACACACACACACAAACATCAAGTGGCCAGTGAGCTCAGGAACACTGACAAAGAGGGGAAATAGTTTGCCCGAGTTCACGAAAATAGTTAAGAGAGAAAGTTAGGATTCAAACCGAGGCAGTCCTACCCTTGAAGTATTTCTTTAATGAAAGAATGGTTATATATTTATCACTATAGGTATTTGTATCAGACTACAAAGGGAAGGATGTAAGACAAAATGTACAAGACCCTCTTTCTGCCCACTTGCTAACATAAATGTCTACACAGGCTCAGAAGAAAAGAACAAAGTACAACAGTGGTCTGACCATGGGAACTTTTTGTTCTCTATTCACTTTCTGACTTAAAAAAATTTAGAATAAGCATATGTTATTTCCATATTAAAGGAGAAAGTTATGTTAGAAATTCAAACAATAATACACAATGAAAAAGTATATAAATACTTTTAATTCTCTCAGTGACCCATGCACACAGGGTCAGCATGGATCTCTCAGGGTCTCTGTCATTAAATTCAAACTTCCTGTCATGGTTCCAGTCTCTTTTTTCTCTGACCTTTCCTGCCAAATTACTCTTCCTAAAGAACTGTGACCCTTTTATAAGTTCACTGCTTAAAAACCTTTAATAATTCTCCATTTTCTACATAAGTAGAAACTTCTCTGCCTTGCATCCAAGGCATTCCATAATTAGAGCACTCAATCAACTTTTTTACTTTGTTCCACACATTCCAGATAGTTGACTACTTACTACTCTTTGTATACATATGTTGTTGGGGCTTTAATAACTTGTTCATAACTTGTGCTTGTAACTTGTTCATGTGATTAGCTCTACCTAGAACGTGTTCTCTCTCCATATGCCCATTTTCTATCCAAGGCTCAGCTTATATGCTATCTTCTCCCTGAAACACTTGCTCATTTCCCTTAGTTACCCTAAGAATCCATGGCTCTCTCCTCTGTCTCTCCAGGCACTCCAAAGAGTAAGAACTCTTTGTGTTTTACCTTTCCTAACAGATAATGATTTACTTGAGATAGGATCTTTAGCTTATTCATTTTTGTATTCTCTTAGAAAATTCTTATTAAATAAATATTAACCAACAAAATAGATAAACTCACAGAATTCAATGGCATTATGTTTAGCTATTTTTAAAGTGCCAGGCTGTGGCTATTTGATTTCTCCTTCTTTGACACAGGAGATATAAATTGTTAACAGTACAGGATTGTTCACTTATTTTCCAGGTCTTTGACCTAGTAAAGTGACTTGTGAACTTAATGGGACTATAGATCCTTCATCTCACAAATGCTAAATTATTCTGTGAACTGATGGCAGAAACACCAGAGCATTTTGGTGTACAGCAGTCTGATCATTATTGACCAGTCTTTCCAACAGACAGTAGATGGGAATTTCAGCTTTACTCTCCAGGAAAGGGGAGAGAATTGGAGGATCGAATTTTTTTCTTTACCTTTTTGTGTTGTGCACAGTGGTTCCTCCCAGGACAATTCTCACTCCAGGAGTGGAACAGTTCAGGTTATAAACTGTCAGAGCCTCTTCATAGGTGGCTCCTCCAATTACAAACACAATGATATCCTGAGGTCTGTAATGAGGCAGAGAGAGAGAGAGAGAATGTCTCAGGATAAGAAAAAAAGGGCAAAGATTTGTTATTATTATTATATACAGAGAGTTTTAATTTCTAAATCTTTCTCTTTTTTTGGTTGAGGAAGCAGAATTAAGGCAGAATAGAATAAAAGGTTTAAAAAAAGTTTTAATTATCTGAAATTGGCAGGAAACAGAGCAGGAAATGCTGAATAGTGATTTGCTTTCTGTTTATGAGCGGATGTCTTATAATTTCTGTGCTGTGGATTTCAAAATAGCACAATAGTGTTTGCTGGAACTAAATGCAGAAATATTCTTTTATATTCAAGAGGCTGAAGAGTGCTACTCTGTGACATCAGTATAGCAGTAATTTATACCTGTACTACACACCACCTCTTACAGAGAGCCTCCCATCAAATACTTAGTACAGTGCTGTTACAATGGCTTCTGTCCAAGGACTTCAAAGCATTGGTATATTTGGATGTCTCCATAACACGAGAACTGGAAACATTTAGTATTTTGCATATTAAAAAAATGAGACCTCTAAATGGTATCTCTAGGAACTCTGCCTCTTTTTAAAATCTTTGTTTCTGAATCCTTTGATAAACTAAGGAAAAGAAACCATGGAAACTTAAAACAAAACAAAACAAAACAAAACAATACAAAATAAAACAAAACATAGGTGGTTTTGCTACTGGACATGCTGACACATCTGCTCATCCACCAGCTTCATTCAGTAGCAATTTGTTGTTTTACTGTTTCAGTCTTTATCAAAATAGCTTCATAACAAAGAAGAGAGTGGTCTCTTTATTAGCTCTTTCTGCAGATATCAAGATCATATTATTTTCTAAGCATTGAAGTTTGACTTGTTTTTCTTTTCTCATATCATTAAAAGAAGATAAAATTATTTAATCACAAAAAAGTAATTTAGTTAAATCATTCATTGGACATTATTTAAAACTGCATCTGGGCTGGGGATTTAGCTCAGTGATTCCACTGCCTGCCTCGCAAGTGCAATGTCCCGAGTTCGATCCCCAATACCAAAAAAACCCCCCCAAAACTGCATCAACTGGAAGCATCCATTATTAAATAGAAACATCTTTTTATTTTCCCCCTGGTACTGGGGATCGAACTCAGGACCTTGCATGGCAGGCGGCGGAACCACTGCGCTAAATCCCCAGCCCAAAATTTCCTAAATAGAAACATCTTTAAAAGAGGGATAATATGTACATATGTATAAATCATGAAAGAAAGCCTTTAACGCGACATTTCCTTTCTGCTTGTCTCTCCATCTTCTTCTAAGATGCTTTGAAGGAATTAAGTGAGAAAGTATGTGTTCTTGTGGGACTTCATGGAAACAGAATCAGATTTTATAGCTGTTTAAATATGTTCAGACAGCTTCTGACTTGCAGAGATCTCCCAGTGAAATGTATGAATGGTTCCAATTATGAAGACGTGGCTGTTTTGCAGTTAGGGTTAAGGCAGACAATCAACTATGACGCTTATATGTGGACTTGGGACATAAAAACCATTTTTTGAAACACTCAATTTACTTTTTAAGACAAAATAAACTTATTCGTGATTACCCACCTGAAACAATATACCTAGCATCACAGTGCTTTGAGAGTTATGTACTACTATATATTCTACAATTATTTTTTGTTAAGTAAGTTTCCCTCTCATTTTAGTTCTCTTGATGCTTCCTAACTGCCATTTCCAGTTTCTCCCCAGAGATAAGCATTGTTATTTGTCTCTTACATATCTTTCAAAGATATTATCTGTGTGTGCATGTACATTTAAACACACATGGAAGCATTTTATACATACCCTTCTGCCCCTTGCTTTTGTCTTGGATATATTGTACATTTCAATTTTTGAGAGCTATTTCCTAGTTGCTTCACAGATATCACCTACCAGCAATTCAGAAAAATGTGCATTTCTCCACATCTTTATCAACACTATATATTTTCAAAGCTTTTGGTCTTTTTAAACTGATAGGTAAAAAACTAGTATCTCATCATAGCTTCCTATAATGATGAGTCCGATAAAGATCTAAGGCTATAGATACAGATCTATGTATCACAAGCATATAAAGTTTTGGAGATGGTATAATGTGAGAAAAGAGGGCTGTGATCAACTCCAACAATGAAGAGATACTGGAGGAACAGGAAATCTCAAAGGACAAAGAAGGAATAGATAGATTATAGAAGGTAATAGTAAAACCAGAATATGTTGTTATGGAGGCCAAATGTTTTAAGGAACCAAAACCAAATACAATTTTTTTTTTCTTTTTGGTATGGGGATGGAACTCGGGAGCTTGCGCTTGTGAGGCAGGCGGCAGAACCACTGAGCTACATCCCCGGCCCACTAAATACAATTTTTTAAAATTGTAGACAGATCAAGTAAGATTAGGGGTGAAAAATGCCCACTGGATTTATCCATAGATGTCATGATGATTACAGTGACAGCAGTTCTGGTGGAAAAGTTTAAATTTTTTTTTAACCCAACTTACAACCCAACTTGTGTACTCTCAATGTCCTGTTTGGATCCCTATTTTTTTAAACACACATTTTACCTAGATTAAACTAGCACAGTCTCATCACTCCAAATCTTTCTCTTTAGCCTTAATCTTTACCCTTGGTTCCAGATCCACACGTCTGGGCACCAGAGACAACACAGACATTTCAGATTCACCATACTAAACAGCTAGCTTGCTTGTTTGCTTTCCCTCTCTCTCTCTCTCTCTCTCTCCCTCTCCCTCTCTCTCTCTCTCCTCTCTCTCTCTCTCCAGGGTCTCACTATGCAGTTCAAGCTGGCCTTGAACTCACTATGTAGCCCAGGCTGGCCTTGAACTTGTGGCAATCCTCTTTCCTCAGAAGTCTGCCATGGGTCTCACCGCGCTAAGATCAAGGTGTTAGCAGAACTGTGTTCCTTTTGGAAGCTAGGGAAATAATCTATTTCACTGTCTTTTTCAGCTTTTAGCTGCTGCCCTGCATTCTTCAGCTTCTGACTCTCTTCTTTCCTCTTTAAAGCTAGCCACATCTCATGTCTCTTACCCTGGTTTTATTACATCTTTCTCTGACAACATTTGGAAAAGGTTCCCTGAGTTTATAGACTCATGGTTAGTTTGGGCCCATCTGGATAATCTCACTGTCTCTGGTGCATACACTCAAACACAATGCAAGATCTCCTCCAGGTAAGGTAACACACTCACATGCCCAGGACTTAGAGCATGGGTGTACATCTTTTGGGGAGCCACTGTTCTGCCTACTACGGGAACAATCTACCCATCACACAAGTCAGACAACTGTAATATTTTCTTTTTCTTTCTTTCATTTCTGGCCCTCTTATCCTGTTCTTGGTCTGTTGTTTCAAGTGCATCCCTTTATTCAGCTCCTCTAGCCTATCATACTCATGACTTATTTATATTTCATTTATGAACCATCTCTATTGTTTAAAACATATATATGATCCTGTGCTTTCTTTGCTAAAAGTTAAGAGCAGTTGCAGCAATGCTTAGTTAATGTATAGCAGTTAGTCTTTTCCAACCAGCTCTTAGTCTACTTTAGCCTGGTTCTCTTTGTTACACTCTATTCTCTGTTCTCTTGTTCTTCAGTTACACATATTACTAGAAAGTGAGCATAAGGGTAAAAATAAAATTTTGGAGGGGCAGGTGCTCATTCTGTTTCAAAATAATGGTGGAGATTTTAGGAACTTAGTCCTTCACTCTGTTTTTTTGGTACTGGGGATCAAATCTAGGACTTTGAGCTTTTGAGGCAGGCATGGCACCACTGAACTAAATCCCCAGCCCTCAAAATAATGGTGTGACAAATGACTGAATATCACTCTATTTCCTCTCTCTCTAAAGAACCTTATGCCAGCGGTAACCATGTGTTGACTATCTACTACTTGCCTGACACTTTGCTTAAAATTTTGCAAGGTAAACATCACAGTTGAGAAGGTAGAAACTCATAAAGTTTAAGTAATTATCTCATGGTCATTTTATCTTAAATTTCAGTCAGCTTTGGCTTCTACTACTCCACTAAATAACTTCTTTTGTCAAGGTCATATTGTTAATCCAAATGATCATTTTTCAGTCTCTTTTGACCTGTCAGCAACATTTGCCTAAGCTGATCATCTGCTCCTCCTGGAGGTACTTCCTTCACTTGGCTTCCAGGATATCATGTATTTGGTTTGCTCCCTACCCAATTAGTTGCTACTTTTCAGTGTCCCTTGATGATTCATCTCATACCATCTCCCTAACCTCTTACTGGTGAGAGTCTAGAGGCCAGCCACTTCCCTTCCTTTCTTCCTAATCTGTACATATTCCCTAGAGCTGTCCTAATATAGTAAATACTAGCCACAAATGGCTACTTATATTTAATTTAAATAAGATAGAACTAAGTTAAAAATGAAATTCTTCAGTAGCATTAGCCACATTTCAAATGTTCGATAGCCACATGTAGCCAATAGCTACTTGCTTTGGTTTGGGATGGTTTGGGGGTGTCCCCCAAAGGTTCATGTGCTGAAATTTAATCCTTGTTGTGAAGTAGTAAGAGGGTGGAGACTTAACTCTGATCATAGTGGTACAGGAGCATGATTAGGATTAGATAGGGTCATTAGGGTAGAGCCTCTATGCCTGAATCCTGGTGGCGATGTAAGAAAAGAGATGACACTAGAGAATACAGACATTTTCTCAGGAAAAATTGGTATTTTTTTATACAATACTATATAGAATACTTCTTATGGTGAGGGGCAAAAACTATCCTGAGGCCCACAATTTTTTTTTTGGTACCAGGGATCAAACTCGGGTCCTTGTGCTTAGGAGGCAGGCAGTGGAACCACTGAGCTAAATTCCTGGCCCTCCACAATTTTATCTTAAATAAATACTGAAGAATTACACAGATTATCCCATTAAGAAGAAAGGCGGGGGTGGGGGTGGGGTTCTCCCCTGCAGGGTTACAGCCACCAGCTTTGTTGCAAACACCTGGTCTGATAAGT